AGAGCCGCCCACCGCCTGGTTTTGTACGTATCTCGTTTCCCACACGCCTTCGCTGCTTTTGGTTTGCAGATGTCGCGGCAGGGCGCGGGCTGGCAAGGAGGATCTCTCGGTGGCTCCACGTCGCACTCGGCCGCCGACTCAGGTCGGGACACCGTGTTCTCTTCGGACGGCTCGTCGTGCTACGAGGCGGGCGAAGGGCCCGGCGGCAGCGGCGGCGCCTCGTCGGGGTCCTCTTCTTCGGGCGTGGGATCCTCGCACACCCCGACCGCCAACACACCCACAACGCCCACCACCCCGACGGCGCCGGAGCCCACCAGGCCGCCCAGGATCACGCCGTTCAGCGGGGTGCTGTCGCAGGTGAGATGCGGCCCGGCGCGCGGAACCAGTCCAGCGCGGGACCGTGCATGTGCCACTGTGAGGCGGGGCGGGGAGGGAAGTGGCGAAAATAACTGCCATTTCCTTTTCTGGATGAGTAAAAGAAGCCAGGAGCTTGTGGGCGAAGACGAAGAGATGAAAGACCCAACGGGTGGGGGAGGAGGGGGAGGGGGCATGAAGGAGGTGGTGGGGGCCGCAGGCCGTGGCCGCAGCACCGCGCGGGGGCCGGTCCATCCCTTTGCGCGCAGACTTTCGGATTCAGATAACTGTAAGGTGGGTGAAAAACATACCTATCTTACTTTCGGGTACTGTTATAGCACTGCAGCACTGCGGGTATATGGCGTGTTTCTTTTTTGCCTATCGTCCTTAAACACGCTCGAAAACCTCTGCTTAATAAGCTTTTCTACTGTAGTAGAAAAGAGAAGAAAATTTGTATTACTGATATTTGCATTTCGAGAATTTAAAAAAAAACTTTTTTGATAAACCAGCGAACCAGGGAACATCCTTTTTTGTGTGCGGTGCCGATTGAGGAGGCAATGCCCGCGCGTGTGCAAGCTGTGCTGTACAGTAATTACAGTAGACTCTCGATATAATTCTGCAGAGCCGTCTTCTCGGCCGGGTCTGGTTCCCCAACACCGAGCTACGAGCGGGGCGCCCCACCTTACCTCACTTGCCTGACCTGCCCACGTCTCCAGGCGGTACCAAAGTACAGTGCGGGGTACTCTCTCGGTTTATTTCTGCATCCGCGACACCCTCACTTTCCAACCCAAATTAATTGTGGAATTGAATCGAGAGTCTACTGTACTGTACGGCAGGAGATGTGCGGTGTTTTGTACCCCCAGCCACTCAGACCATAGGGCCAGGATCTACATCGCGTTTAGTTCATATATTCATTAGCGAACTGAAGGTAAGTGAGCCAAGGATGGTCCCAATCGCAGCACTCGCGCCGGCACTGGCGCCGAGGCTGCCGCCCCCTGCCCTGGTCTGGCCTCCACACGCCGCACGCCTCCGCGGCCCAGCAGCCTCCGGGGCCCGCTGGCCCGCTGGTCCACTTCTAGCGCGCTGGAGCCTGCCTAGGGGCCTGGGCAAAGGCCTGGGCCGCCTGCGCGAGGGCCGACGCGAGCCCGGCCCTGCAAGGCGCAAGGCACTGCGTGCCATGCAGGCACATCAGGCCCACGAGACACCAGGCACTTGGGTCGCGGCGGGGGGCGGGGGAACGAGGG